AGAAACTAGCTATTCCTTACCTGATAGAACTACTACGAGGGCAGACTGACACCTGTAAGGTGCCTAGCATGGTGCCAGGCACGTAGTAAGTGCTCAATAGATATGATCTATAATATTATTCTGTAATTAGCAATATAGGCCATCCTAACTTCTTTGACTACTTTTTTCCAGTCTCTAGTAGACTGGTACTTTTGAAAATATAACGATAATAAACTACTGAAGAGAATGTAAATACAGAGCCCAGGGCCATTCCCAGACCCTTGTATTTAAAGGAGCTGGGTCTCACATGGCCCATCATGATTTGAATCCCACTCCCAGTGGCTTGAAAAACACAATGGCCATGTGTGTGTGACTGCCCAAAATCCCAACAGGATGGAGAAATGGTGAAGGGATTGTCACATAACCATGCCCCATCGTGGGGGTGCTTTCTCCCTCTCTCTGTTTCTCTCTGCCTCTGGTGAGTATACACCCCCTGTGGCCATTGAGAAAAAGAAGAAAAGAAAATGCAGAATCATTGTTTACAAGTAATGGGCCTGTCCCATTGTCATAATGCATTTCTAAAAGCCTGACCGCAACTTCTTTCCCCACAGTGAGGACACCCCTTGAGAAGCACTGGCATGCATCAATGAGCTTTTACAATAGTGATAAACTATTCATAGAAACAACTCTCACATGCCATCACAGGGGTGGGGGTGGAGGTGATGATGGCCACATCATAGCCCATCCACAGTAACGAAGACATCAAGCAGAGACTAGCTCTGGATGGTGGGGTTAACAGCATTTCTTTTTCCTTCCTTCCTTCCTAACTTACTTACTTACTTACTTACTTTCTCTCTTTCTTTCTTTCTTTCTTTCTTTCTTTCTTTCTTTCTTTCTTTCTTTCTTTCTTTTATTCTTTTTGGAGAGCTTTTTCGCTATAGGGCGCGTGCACTCGCCAGACAGACAAGAGAGAGACATAGAGACAGAAAGTGAGAAATCACCCCCCAGGGGGGATGGTCATGCCACAATCCCTTCTCCTCCATTCTCCTCTCGGGATATTGGGCACGCACACACACGCGCCCGGCGTGAGTTTTAAGCCACCGGGTCCGGGACGCGAACCGCGGTCGACTACGTGGGAGTCCAGCGACATAGCCATTATGCTAACTGCTGGTTCCCTTTCTTTCTTTCTTTCTTTTTTTAATAATTTAAATGCAGAAACTGGCAGGTGGCATGGTGGTTAAGGGCTCTGGACTCCCACATGGCTGACTGTGGTTCAAGTCTTAGACCTGGTGACTTGCTTTCTCACTTTCTCTGTATGTCCCTCTCTGATCAAATTAAAAAGTTAAATAAAATAATTTTAAAATAATTAATCAAAAGATCATTTTAAACCATGTTGCAGAGTTTTCACAATAAACATATATTCTTTTTGTAATAATAACAACTGTGGGAGCCACATGCAAACCTATACCTTAATACGTCATAGAGACCAGGGTACATCCCACATAAAGCTATCAACTGTATACCCACAATTTTTGTGTTTATTTTCCTAGAGGGTACATATGCTTGCTGGAGAGAGACAGAAGAAAGAAAGCATTTCTTTCTTTCTTTTCTTTTTTTTGAGATATTTTTACTGTAGGGCATGTGCACTAGCCAGAGAAAGAAAGAGAGAGAAAGGGATAAATAACCCCCACAGGGAGGATGGTCACGCCAAAATCCCATTTTCTCCCTGGATTTTAGGTATGCATGCACATGCACCCAGCGTGAGTTTTAAGCTGCCAGGTCAGGGACTTGAACCACAGTTGACTACATGGGAGTCCAGCGACATAACCATTACGCCATCTGCTGGTCCCAAGAAAGCAGTTCTCATGAGGGATGGTCACACCACAGTCCCTTCTCTTCCGTTCTCCTTTCAAGATGTTGGGCATGCATACACACATGCCTGGCATGTTTTTCAAGCCACTGGGTCTAGGACTCAAACTGTGCAATTGGTTGTGTGGGATAGCTGGTCCAATGGTTCCTTTCTTCTTTTTAAAAATTTTAATTTCTAAAAACGTTTGCCAGAGGGACCAGCAGATAGTGTCATGTTTACATCACTGAACTCCTGCTTAGTCAACCATGGTTCAAGTCCTGGACCCGATGGCTTAAAACACACTGGGCACATATGTGTGTGTCCCCAAAATCCTGAGAGGGTAATGGAGGAGAAGAAATTGCAGCGTGGCCATTCCCCCTAGGGGGTGATTTTTCACTTTCTGTCTCTCTGTTTCTCTGGCAGGCGCATATAACCTAAAGCAAATTAAAAAAAAAAAATCAAGGAAAAAAATTGCCAGAGGGCATGTGCACTTGACAGGGACAAGTGGGAGGGGACAGAGAGAAAGCACTCCCAGTGTAGCGTGATCATGTGCAGTCCCTTCTCTTCCATTTCTTCATCCTGTCAGGGTTCTGCACACACATGCCCATGCGCAATGTGTTTTCAAGTCACAGGGGCTGGGTCCGAACTGTGGATATGGCCACTCAGGATCCAGCCTCCTTAAACACTACACCTTGGGGCTGGCCCTGTGCACGACTTTAATCATTATTTTTATGCTCCATTGGAATTTTAGGCAGGCCAGAAGTAAAACTAAGTGTTCTACAAATGTGTTTTTTCATGACGCCCGTGGCCTTGGCTCACTCACTGCCCAAAGAAAGCCTGAAACTCACTCACATCAAGGGGCAGACAACTGATAACAAGCTGAACTGTCATATTTTCCAAAGATTTACATCCAGAACAATGGACAGTCTTAAGACACAAGAAAAAAAACCCTAACATGCCATTGCCTTTCTTTGAGCCTGTACCTGAGTGGAAACTGAGGCTGGGCTTTATCTTGGAAGCTGCAGGGACAGCAGGGAAAAAGCTCTTTCCCGATGACTTTGATGGCTGACTCTCAGTCAAATGCTCGACAGAAGGGGGCTGAAGTTTCTCCGTCCCCTGCAGGGAGAAAATCACATAGCAGAGCAGGGTGTGAGGCATATGTATGTATACACACACACACACACACACACACACACACACATACATGCATACATGCTCCTTGACTTATAAAAGGATTATGTCTCCATAATCTGATTGTATATTGTAAACCCGATGAATTGTAAGTGGAAAATATCTTGAGTCAAAAATGCATTTAATTTAATATGCCTAACCTACTGAACATGCCTAGCCTACATTACACATGTTCAGAACACTGGCATGAACCTACACTTGGGCAAAATCATCTAACACAAAGCTATTTTATAATACAGTATGAATGTCTCATGTAATTTATTGAATACTGGCTGAACATGAAAGACAGAATGGTTGTTATGGGAACTCAAAGCACAGTTGCTACTCAACTCTTATCATTTTTGCACCACATATAGTTAAAAATATTGTAAGTTGAACCACCGTAAGTTGAGCCATCATAAATCAGGGACTGTCTGTATATAGAGACACACACATTGATCCTGTTTCTCTGGAGAACCCTGACTAATAAACCCACCCTTTGACTCCTGCCATCAGCCTACTTTTCAAATCATCAAGTGAATTTCAATCTTGGACCAGGAAACACCCACCAGGTGTCCAGCAGAGTTTAGGATTCTGGCCAGCAGAAGAGAATGTAGGTCTACTCAAGCCCTGGCATTAGCCCATACCCAGAGAATAAATCACTCACTTATTCTTATTCCAGTTTATTTAACTAAGTGAGGAAGAACACCCATTTTCACACTAAGAGATGTAAAGCCCACTCCTCCCCCTACGTATACATAATTCCATATCATTGTGATCAATGCCGCACTCTGCTGTGTGTACCCTGAGTTTTGTTTAATTCTGTTTTGAGACTTTTCTGCTGATCAGCATCATTTAGTATCCCAAGACAATCACTCAAAATGAAAACAGCATTCATATAGGGATACTGAAACGTTAGTATTTGTAATAGCCCAAAATGACAGACAAAAATGGCCATGGAAAGGGGAACAAAAGCCCACAAAGTGCAGAGGCCAGAGGGCAGCGTGGTGGGTAAGGTGCCAGACACTCCCATGTGACTGATGTTGTTTGGGTCCCAGACCTGGCAGCTTGCTCTCTCACTTTCTCCTTCTCTCTTTTTCTGGTGAATTAAAATAATAATAGTAATAATAATAATAAATTAAATAAACAATTCCTTATAAAAAAAAAAAAAGAAGTCCACAAAGTGGCCACCAAATGAGATTGTGCCTGCTTGGTCACCCTTTGCAGATGTTGGCAGAGGCCCGGTGTGTGCCAGGCCCGGTGGTAGACACCAGAAGAAAAGAAACATATCCTAGGGGTTATCTCCTGACAGCTCAGCTCTCATATGTATCATTTAACTGATCCATTTTGGAACCAAGTAATGTATCTTTTTCAAAGTTAGAATATGAATACTATGTAGCACATGAAAATTTATAAACTCATATTAGGAAAAATAAACTAACATTGCAATAGTCTGTTACCCCTGGGATTATAACTACATAAAATAAGCATGCATGTAGTTTGAGATTAGACGGGGACTTGAAAAGCGGTAAGCAGAGGTGCAGGCTGTAGGCCCGTTTTCTTTTCCTCTCTCCCCTAAATCCAGGGCCGTAACTTGGTGTACATCTTTGTCTTCACTCCCTCTCCTCTTCCTCCAGCTGTTCTGGCTGCCACCGCCCCCTCCCTGGGAACAGGCAAGGCACTCCTGGGCCGATGTCCACCCACCGGCTGCACGTTCCAGCTGAGGGAGGGTGACTGCTTCTTCCTGGCCTTCCTCTCCATGGAGCAGTCCCTGCATGGGCTGGCATCTGGGGTGGCACTGGACTTCGTGTCCCTGGAGTCTGGGGCTGCCTCATCCAGGAGGTGGCGGGAGGAGCGGCCGCTGCTGCCCTCCCGGTCCTGCGCCTTGGAGCGCCTCGTGGCGGCGATGAGGGCAATGCTCTTAGTGCCTGCAGCCATCTCCTGGAGGGCCTGGGTGCTCAGGGCTGGGCCGCTCAGCTCCAGGCCAGCTGGTGGATAGAGCTTAGAGACCAAGTTCTTCACGCTCAGGGAGCTCGGCTTCTGCAGGAAACCAGTACAGGGGACAGTCAGATGCTATCAGGCTGTCACTGTTGTCCCTGGCTGAATCCTCGGAGGCAGACCCAGGGAGAATGACTCAAAATGAGCACTTCTTTGGGGGAATATAGTTTGGGGAGGAGCATGGAACAAGGGTCAAGGACAGGAGTGTAATGAAACCAGCTCCTGCCCTGGTGATGCAACTAAATTTCAGGGGACACCCTGGGAGCCAGTGTAGCACTTAGGCCTCAGGGTCACTTCCACCTGAGAGAGAGGGATTTCCCAGAGCCACTGGCAGACAGAGCCACTAGGAGAGAGCTTCTCCCAGGGGACACAAATGCTCCAGCACTCCCAGGCTCCCCATGGAGGCATCCTCAGCAGAGTGACCAGATGCTGGTTGCTGGATACATCCAGGGCCCTCTCATTTATACTGTCATGGATAATAATGGATACTAATAGCTTAGCAATAGTTCAAACAAAAGGACCAAAATTACTCACTTGTAAGTATTCACAGCTTTTTCCCTTTCACAAACTCACCCATATGACAAAGAGATTCTTTTTTTTTTTTAATCTTTTAAAATTATTATTATTGGACCAGCATGTGGCGTAGTGGTTATGGTGCTGGGTTCCCACATGGCCAAACATGGTTTGAGTCCTAGACTCAGCAGCTTGAAAATCACACTGTTTGCATATGCATGTGTGTCCAAAATCCCAGGAGGAGAAGGGATTGTGGTGTGGCCATACCTCCTGGGGGCGATTTCTCACTTTTCCTCTCATTGTCTCTTTCTGTATCTCTCTCTCTGGTGAGCCCACGTGCTCTATGGCAAAACCTTGAAAATTATTTTAATTTGCTAGATAGCACATGCATTTGCTGAAGACAGAGAGAGGAAAAGAGAGAATGTACTCCCCCAAGGGGATGGCCACACCATGGCCCCATCTATTCCATTCTCCACTAGGAATTGTGAGCATGCAGATACAGATGCCTGGTGTGGTTTTCAAGCCACAGAGTCAGGACCCAAACCATGGTGTTAACCATGTGGGATCCAGCTGCCTTAACCACTACGCTACCCACTGGCCTGAAAGAGATTCCTGTATTTGCCATTTGGCTTCCCACTGCCTCTCCCTGCCCACCCCCTGTGGAAAGGAGAGATTTCCAACTTTCTGGGAGAGTAGCTAGGCTGATATACAGGACGGGATGAGAGGGAGGGGAGATAGACATAACATTCATGTATGTGGGCTATGGAGAGGTAGTTGGGGTTCAAGCATATGAATAAAAGAGGAGGAATAAGGATGGGCACCAAGCACCTTGGTGAAGAGTGGGTTCCTTTGTTGTTCAAGAGGAATGCTGAGAAAGGAATGGGATTTTGGCTTGTTAGAGCACATTTCCTTGAATTGGGCACCAGGTTCATTAATTTACAAGGAGAAAGAAAGATTTGGAAATATGAAGCAATTTGCCCAAGATCACATAGCTTGGAATAGAGTGAGGATTTGAACCCAATCACTTAGCAATTAGACTATAAAAAGCGCCCACCTCCTGGAAGAGCTGAAGAACCAATAGGAGGCCATAGGAGCCCATGATGTGCTTTGCGATTCATCCCCTCACATACTGTACAAGCACCATGTAAGTAGAGTGACTGTCCCAACCTACAGATGAGCAAAACGAGGCTCAGCAAAGCCATGATGAGGCAGCTATGGCAGACACAGAGCTATCCTTAATCTTTAAACTGAGGATGAGGATTGCTCTTGCTCCATCCTGAGGTGAATCATGCTCACCTCAAATTCACATCTACCCAGGACCCTGGAATGGGATCTTATTTGGAAATAGGTTCTTTGCAGATGAAACTAGCTCACGATCTTGAGATGAAATAATCTTCTAGATTTACAGTGGGCTCTAATTATAATGACCCATATCCTTATAAGGGAAGACAGGACAGAGAAACAGAGAAGGCCAGTCTCTCAGAGGCAGAGATTGGAGTGATGCACCCACAAGCCAAGGAATGCTTGTAGCCACCAAAAGCTAAAGGAAGGATCCTCTCCAAAAGACTTTGGAGGGAATGTGATCTTGCCAACACCCTGATCTCAAACTAAAGCCTCCAGAACTGTGAGAAAATAAATTTGTTGCTCAAACTGCCCATTTGTGGGGCTTTCTTGTAGCAACCCCAATACAGAATGACTAAATCACTTAACCAGGGCAGGTTCAGCAAGAGGTCGCCTCCTTCTGGAAGTCTCCCTCCCACTCTCCCCAGCCCAGTAAAGCTTTGAAGGGGGCAACCACAGTCCTGTTGGGGAAAGGGGAGGCCTCTCCAGAGCCCAGGGCTCTGCTGCATGCCACATACACCAACCTCATGAATTGGAGGGGTCAGCAGGATGCGGAGGGATGGTGGAGGGAGAAGAGAATCTTGCTTTCCCAGTTTTCTCGAAGGTGTGGCTTTCGATGACTTATATCCATCACTGTGGATGAAACACAGCAGCATCACAGGCCAGTGATCCAATCAATCATGCTGAGTAATGAAATCCCAGTGAGAAGTCTGTATGCCGAGGCCTGGAGCAGCTTCCAGGTTGGTGAACATAGGATGTTCTAAGAGGCTGACAGGGCCTGACTCTATGGAGGGAGGGCATGGTTGACACCTCAGCTGGAGATAGGTTGCTGACCTCCCTCCTGTGCTGCCTCGGAGCTCGCCTGGGGAGAGTTCCACCCGCTATCTTGCCCTGTGCAAGCTGCTGCTGCAGACACTGCTCTGGAAGAAGTGAAGCAGAAGCCTGCCTTCTCTCTAAATCAGGGTTGAGGGCCCAGGCCTGAGCATCTTTTCCTCCGAGTGGGGTTGACACCCGTCTTCTCTAATCAAGGGGCAGAGCAGCAAGTTCATGAATAGATCTGGGTCAAGAGCAAGCGGGCAGCACCAGACATGGGAACTGATGAGTCCTCTGGTCTTGAGCAAATGGAGATCGGAGCAGTCCTTTTACACACATGTGCATATAGATATGCACATACACAACACACACAACCACATGTGTACAGTAACACATATACACTCACAGCAATACACACTAACATGTATGCACATGTGCACATACACAAACACATGTATGCACACGAGCCCCTGTGTTTATGTATGTGTGTGTACAAACATATGTGTACACACAAACAAATGTGTGCAGGCAGAATTGCCCAGATATATTCACACAAACATGCTAGCACACTAGCATGTACTGCATGTGTACACAAGCTAAGGCAATCATTCTATTCTCTTCCTGGAGCCCTGGTATTCTCATTACTCCAGAAGCAAAGGGTTGACCTGGGCACTGCAGCCAAACACGGGGTCTGGGCCTTCAATGCACCCTGCCTTGAACAAACCAGCTGTAAAAGCATTTGGAGGTAGAAAAATCGGACAGAGGCTGGATATGAAGTGATACTGAAGGAGGATTATTCATTTTGGGGGATGATAACTACACTGTGATTTTGGAGGATAATGTCCCTTACATAGAACTGCATATCAATGTATTTAGGTATGAAATGTGGTGATGTTTGTATTTTACTTTAAATATGTAACCAAGAAGTAGATGACTACTATACACTGAATTGTGTCCCCCAAAACCCACATTTTAAAGGCCCACCATGTGACTCTTTCTGTAGATAGGGTCTGAAGGAGGTAAATGAGGTCATGGGGTGGGGAGTCCTAATTAGATAGGATTAGTGTCCTTGTATGAAGAGGAAGATCTCCCTCAATATCTCTCTGTCCCACCCTCTATTTTTTTTTTTTTTGAGATTTTTCACTATAGGGCGCGAGTGCTCGCCAGACAGACAGAGAGAGACATGGAGACAGAAAGCGAGAAATCACCCCCCAGGGGGGATGGTCACGCCGCAATCCCTTCTCCTCCATTCTCCTCTCGGGATCTTGGGCATGCACGCACACGCGCCCGGCGTGAGTTTTAAACCACTGGGTCCGGGACGCGAACCACGGTCGACTACGTGGGAGTCCAGCGACATAGCCATTACGCTAACTGCTGGTTCCTTGTCCCACCCTCTTCTCCCTTTCCGTCACCCATAAATGTGAAGACATGGCAAGAAGAAGCTATCTGCAAACCAGGAAGAGGGTTCTCCCCAGGAACCAATCATGGTGGTACTTGATGACAGACTTCCAGTCTCTAGAACTCTGAGAAGACATTTCAGGGCCAGCCAATAACCAAGCACTGAACAAAGGAAGCCAGATCCCACATGGATGAACCAAGGTTCAAGTCCAAGCCTCAGTGCCTGAAAACATGCCAGGTATGTACACACATGCCCAGGATCCTGACAGGATGGAGAACTAGGGTAAGCAGATGGGGACGTGATGGGGCCCATTAGGGGTGCTTTCTCTCACTCTCTCCCTCCTATGCATATGTCCTCTGGCAATAAATAAATACATTTAGTTCTGCTGTTTAAGTCATCCAGTGTATACTATTGTATTTTATTTTGGTTGCCTGAGCTAAGTGATATAAATTGGCAAAATGTTAACTATTAAATCTAGGGTAGAGGCATATGTTGAATTAACTAGTGTAAATTTAGTTTGCTGGAAAGTGTCAAAATAAAAGTAAAAAGTGGGAACCAGCAGTTAGCGTAATGGCTATGTTGCTAGACTCCCACATAGTCGACCGTGGTTCGAGTCCCGGACCCGGTGGCTTAAAACTCACACCGGGCGCGTGTGCGTGCGTGCCCAAGATCCCAAGAAGAGAATGGAGGAGAAGGGATTGCGGCATGACCATCCCCCCTGGGGGGTGATTTCTCGCTTTCTGTCTCTATGTCTCTCTCTGTCTGTCTGGCGAGCACATACGCCCTATAGCGAAAACCTCTCCAAAAAAAAAGTAAAAAGAAGAGCAAGTCATGGAGGGAGGAATAAATAGCCAATATTGAACTAAAACATTTTGAACAAAAGATACTTACAAAAAGGGAAGGTATTTCTAGCATCAAATTCCTTGACTTCACTGCTGCCTCACATAATAAGCACCTCCTGTGATGTGTTTATTAGTCTAAAAACAACCCTGCAAGGAAAGGGCTACTAGCCACACTTCATGAAAGAGCAAACAGAGGCTCTGGCTATGCCCAGGACCGCATGCCTGCTGAGCTGGCCTGGGATCTGGGATTCATATTACCTGCCTTCAAGCCTCCATCCAGAGCCACCAACACCTAGGGGGCTTGGTGATAACCCTGGGGCTGATCAGGAGAGGAGGAAGCCCACTTACCTGTCTCTCTCCAGGAGCACTGGAGGCAGCTCAAATTGGGCGCCCCATGGGAGGTCCTTCCTGTCGCTGGTCTGGTCTCTGCTGGAGTCCTCAGGTGGGGGAGATATATTCAGGACAGAGCCATCCTGGGACCAGACAGAGGAGCTGAGTGAGGACATGGGCAAGCTCTGTCATCGAGCAGAGGGTCTTTGCAGAGTCACAGGAAGACCTGCTTCTTCCCACCATCACCCAGTGGGAGAGGCCAGCAAGTCAGTTGCTTGGCTTGTCCCTCCATCATCGAGACAGAAGGAAGGCATTGCTGCATTAGCAGACTCCCCAGAGACCATAGCAAAATGGATCACAAGGGAGGAACCCGTTGTCCAGAGCACCCTTAAAAGGTCTCAAAAAGTTAAACATAGAATTATTATGTGACCCAGCAATTCCACTTCTGGGTACATACACAAAAGAACTGAAAGCCAGGTCCGGAAGAGATACTTATATACCCATGTTCATGTCCATTATTCACAAGAGACAAAAGGTGGAAGCGACTCAAGTGCCCACTGGTCGGTGGATGAATAGACAAAATATGGTAGGCATTTAAAGAAATATTACTCAGCCTTAAAAAGGTAGGAAATGGGACCAGCAGATGGTATAATGTCTATATAGACTCCCATGTAGTTGACCCTGGTTCGAGTCCCAGACCAGGTGGTTTAAACTCACGCTGGGAGTGTGTGTGTGTGTGTGTGTGTGTGTGTGTGTGTGTGCATGCCCAAGATCTAGAGAGGAGAATGGAGAAGGGATTGCGACATGGCCTTCTGCCCTGGGGGGTGATTTCTCACTTTTTGTCTCTCTGGTGAGCACACGCATCCTATAGCAAAAACCTCTCAAAATAAAAGGGGGGGGGCAGGAAATTCTGACACATTCTACAACTTAAGGACAGATGCTGAATGAAATAAGCCACATATTATATGATCCCATTCGCATAAGGGACCTGGGGTTAAATTCATAGAGACAGGAGGGACCAGCAGTTAGCGTAATGGCTATGTCGCTGGACTCCCATGTAGTCGACCACGGTTCGTGTTCCAGACCTGGTGGCTTAAAACTCACACCGGGCGTGTGTGCGTGCGTGCCCAAGATCCTGAGAGGAGAATGGAGAAGAAGGGATTGCGGCGTGGCCATCCCTCCTGGGGGGTGATTTCTCCCTTTCTGTCTTTCTGTCTCTCTCTGTCTGTCTGGCAAGCACACACGCCCTGTAGCAAAAACCTCTCCAAAAACAAAAAAGAATAAAAAATTCATAGAGACAGGAAGTAGAACAGTGGCATGGGGTGATAGAACTCTAATGTAAAAATGACCTCTTTGGGCGAGTGTGATGAGATGATGCAGTACACTGATTGTAACAGATGTCCCACTCTGGGAGGATGTTGGTAGTGGGGGAGGTTGTGTGTGGGGAGGAGGTACACAGGAAATCTCTGTATTTTCTGTTCAACTTTGCTATGAACCTGAAAACTATTCTAAAAAATATTAAGTCTTTGAAAAAAAAAAAAAAAAGACAAAGCCAAAAAAAGAAGAAAAAAATCCTCTTTCCTATACGTTTGAGAACAATGCGAAAGGAGAACAGAGCAGTAACTTTTTGAAAGCAGGAAACAGATGTCTGAGTGGTAACTGAGCCAGCAGCCCCAGGAAAGCCAGCCTCCGGAGTTGTGTGAACTTCAGCACCCAGCCACAGGGCCAGCACGGCAGTGTGTTGTAGTAGGTGTGCTGGAGTTGGGGATGGAGGAAGTCGCTTTCCCACACTAGGACCCTGAGTCCCTCTCACACAGCATACTTCTGGGCCACTCTCCTCACTCACTCCGGCTGAAGTCCAGAAGTTTCCTCTAGAGGGTGAGAAGGAGGTCTACAGGCTGCAGACACCAGCACTCATGCTGGGCATGGCAGAATTGGGAGACGACAGGACTCAGGTGCCATGACGAGTTCAGGGCTCACGCTATAGCCCTCGCTCTAGGCTGGAACATGCAGCCTTGAAGAAAGACCTAGAACCACAGACCTCACTGAGGTTCCCAGAAGATGTCTCTCCAGTCACTAATGCACAAGGGCCTCCACTGGAGGGAGCTCAGGCTTCCTGCCCATCAGGTTTTTGTCTCCCACACAGAAACGATGACGATAGCTGAGGGTTACGGATGCTGGGGTACACAGAACAAAACTGACCGGCCACATGTGAACAGAACCCACCCCAGGCCCACCCTGGCTCACCCTGGGCAGGCTTGCTCAACCATACCTTCCACACCTGGCCTTCAGGGCCTGGGCGGGGCTTGCCTTGCCTCAAAACTTGCCCAAATCCCCGCCATAGCACCCCAGTGTTCTGACTTCTAGGTAGGTGGTTCTTGGGGACTACAAGTTCCTCCTCTGTTTCATGGGTCCTGGTACAGAGCAGAGCTCAGCACAGGCCTGGCCTAGGGCTGAGCAGGATGGGTCGGACTCACCCGGAGTGAACTGGCCATCACAGAGTGCAGCAGCAGGAGGCGGTTCAGCGTGCCCTCGCCCAACTCCTGGGAGTACAGCTGGAACCGCTTGTTCAGGGACTCTGGCACTGGGATGCCACCATCTGTAGGATCCAGCAAAGACATAGACCAGAAGGAGTTGGGGACACCCTCACGGAATCAGGCAATATATCCAGCACTTGTTAAAAAGACAGTATCGGGGGACCAGCAGTTAGCGTAATGGCTATGTTGCTGGACTCCACGTAGTTGACCGTGATTCAAGTCCCAGACCTGGTGGCTTAACCTCACGCCAGGCACATGTGCATGTGTGCCCAAGATCCCAAGAGGAGAATGGAGGAGAAGGGATTGCAGCGTGGCCATCCCCTCTAGGGGGTGACCTCTCGCTTTCTATCTCTCTGTCTCTCTCTGTCTGTCTGGCAAGGGCACGCGCCCTATAGCAAAAACCTCTCAAAAAAAAAAAAGAGTATCGGGACTAGCAGGTGGCACAATGGTTACATTGCTGGGCTTGCACGTAATCGACCATGGTTTGAGTCCCAGACCCGGTGGCTTAAACTCACGCTGGGTGTGGGTGCACGCATGCCCAAAACCCAAGACGAGAACAGGGAAGAAGGGATTGCAGCATGGCTATCCCTTGGGGGGGGGGGTGGATTTCTCGCTTTCTGTCCCTCTGTCTCTGTGCCTCTCTGGCAAGCTCATGTGCCCTAGAGTAAAAAGACAGTACCACTTTGGAAGACGTTTGAAGGTAAATGCTCCAACCCGATAGAAGAGGCTTTTCGAGAGAGTGGAATTTCTGCACATCTAACTTCTTTTGTGTTCACGTATTGCCCTTTTTAAATTTTTTCTTTTATTGCCAGAAGGTGTGTGTGTTCATCAGAGCGGGAGGGAGAAAGCGCTCCCCCATGGGGCATGGTCACAGTGCAATCCTTTCTCCTCCATTTCTCCGTCCTGTTAGGATTCTGGCCATGTGTCTGCATGTTTTTCAAGTTGCCCAGGGCTGGGACTTGAACTACAGTTGATCATGTGGGATCTGGCTCCCATAATCACAAGGCCACAGGACCAGCCCTGTCCCGTTTTGTTTAAGGGAGAGAGACAAGGTCTTGCTATGTGGCCCAGGCTAGCCATGAATTTGTGATCCTAGTGCCTTAGCCTCCCAAGAAGCTGGGACTACAGTGTGTGCCACTGCGCCTGGATCAGAGGTGTCCCTTTCTTTTGCTGACGGGGCAACCTGACCTGGAGGCCCCCATCCCCCTGGGGTTCACTTGCCGGTGAATTAAAGAAATTCAGAACGTAACTGAACTAGTGACCCAGCATTTCTGCTTGCTATAGAAAACACTGATGGGACAACAGGCAAGAGTCAAATGTATCTGTACACTAGTATCACATCCACACTGACGTCTTACAGTCACATTAGAAAATGACTTTGTTTTGAAAAATATACCCTGAAATATTCAATAGTATTAAAAAAGAAAAATATGAGCTGGTCCCACAGGCTAGTGGCTAAGGGAAAACAATTCATGGCCAAACACAGTTTAATCCCAGACCTGAGCGACTTGAGAAACACATCAGGCATGTGTGAGTGTGTGCCCCAAATCCCAGCAGAGCGGAGAAATGGAACAGAAGGGATTGCGGCATGACCGTGTCCCACTAGGGGGTGCTTTCTCCCTCTCTCTCCCTGTCTTTCCATGTCTCTATGGTGAGCACACCTCCCCTCTAGCAATTTAAAAATGGTCTAAGACTGGGAACCAGCAGTTAGCATAATGGCTATGTCGCTGGACTCCCACGTAGTCGACCACGGTTCACATGGTGAACCGGACCGATGGCTTAAAACTCACGCCGGGTGTGTGTGCTTGCGTGCCCAAGATCCCGAGAGGAGAATGGAGGAGAAGGGATTGCGGTGTGAACATCCCCCCTGGGGGGTGATTTCTCGCTTTCTGTCTCTCAGTCTCTCTCTCTGTCTGTCAGGCGAGCGCACGCGCCCTATAGTGAAAAACCTCTCCCCACCCCAAAAAAATGGTCTAAGACAGAGAGACAGACAGACAAGACAGTGTACACAGCCTACTCGTTCCAGAAGATTACAGAGTTCCAGCGTGCCGGCCGGCAGCTCACCCTGTATCAGCTGCTGCTGCTCCTGGATGACCTGATCACAGAGCAGCCGATGCTGGTGGTAGCGCTGGATGACGAAGTCTTTCTGGCACAGCAGGTTCTTCCGGCATAGGTTGTTGGCCTGCAGCTCCGTGTTCTCCACCTCCAGCTGGTGGGCCCTGCACAGCAGCCGCAGCACCTCCCGCTGCTCCTCGCTGGTGACCTGCTTGGGCAGCAGCTTCTCCATCTGCGAGACCTTCCGCTTGGCATTGGCCAGTCGCTGCTCCAGCCCGGCCTGATGGGAAGACCAAGGGTTGACGGGAGACGTCAGGTGCTCTGCTGGCTCACACCTGTTCCCCCTCACAGGCCTGGTTTGCGATTGCACTCAGGGAAACACACAGTGATGGGCTCTGAGGGTGTGCTGCCATCAGTCTATACCAACCGTATCTTTTATTTTCTGTGCTTTGATGCTTTAGTATCTGGGACCTTGCTGACCCCATCAGGACTGTCTCTCTCAGGGATGGCAAGATTCCAGCACATATTCCAAACACAAACCAAACAACCCAGAGGTCATACCTCAACCCTCCTCTTTGGGAATATCACACTCCAGACCACCACCCCCCATCCCAATCACCCAGAGCCAGGTACAAGTAGGGACAGCCCTTGTCAGCCCATCCTAAACCTACTTATCCTGCCTTGCCTGTTCCAAGGAAACCACCATAAAGGTTCTTAGCCATGCTCCCCTACACCTGACTCCTGAGCCTCCTCCCTGTGGCCCCGGGTGGCATGGCATGGTATGGCCGGACCCCTCTTCTTAGAAACTGTGAGTAGCAAACCATCTTTGTAATGACAACTGTCTCCCAAACTGCTGGCCTCGCTGAATCTCTAATTTCCTATGTATACTATATTTCAGAGCATCTCCACCCCCAGTGGGCTGGCCCCTCACCGTGTGTCTATGTGTCTGCTACAGAAACAAGCGATGCCCTTTCTTATAGTGTGAAGCCTTCTGAAGCCATTCCCATGTCCTTACAGAATAGTCTCTGAAGGCACTTCTACATCTACCACATTACAGACCTTGTGCCTACAACAGAGGTTCTGATTGTCTCTAGCCAAACGGAGTATGAGGAAAAGCAGGCAGAGCTGAGGCCTTGCTCATCCACTTCAGGCCTCTGAGGCTGCTCCCTGCCTTACAGAAAACACTGGGAGCTCAGAGAGCTGCCTGGGACTCTGCATCTTGGTGTCTATCAGTCCAGGCTCTCTCCGGAGAAACAGAACCAGCTGGAGGCAGACATAAAGGCAAAGATATATGTTCAGGTGTTGGTATATTTATGTGCATATGTACTGTACTTAAAGTCAGCTGACTGTAGATGTTCGACACACCTACCAAGACCTTCTTGGCATCACCTGATGAATGTCGGATTGAATCACTGCATCCTACAGCCTGGTCCAGTTGATATGTCAAAGCAACCATCACACTATATCATTTCATCTAGGTTCCCAGGCAGTGACACTCAGGCTGAAGCTGCCGTGCAAGCCCAACCCCAGAATCCCAGTCCTGGAATGGGTTAGATAATGACTCCCAGTGCAGCTGAGGAAGATGTGTTCTGACCACCCTGTTTTTCTGGGATTCAAGGGGACTACTCTGGGAGGAGCCGGTTCAGTTCCCCTAGCAAGATCTACTCTCTTCCTTTGAAGCACCACTTCAAGGTCCCCTTCTCCCTGAAGTCCTCCCCATGTCCCTGCTGAAGTAGTGCCTCTTCCTCTCACACCCAGCATCCTGTTCCTGTCACTACTAGGTTGTCAAGAAAGTTATGTATTTTTCTATGCAAAAATGCTTCATGACTTTCCCAGCAACCCAATATCATTGTGCTACCATATTGAATTATAAATGGTTGTGTTTGTGTCTCTTCCATTAGATTGTGAGCTCAAGTCATAGAGTATGTTTCACTTATCTTTATGTGTCCCCAGGGCCTGGACACTTAAAAAGTTCTGATTTGTTTTTATTATGAATTAGTTAATTAACAGGTTCATCATTTGTGTGCCACATCGAATATCCATATTTGGCTCTTGAAAGTCATGCTCTCTTGATGCCCATCATTGGTTCAAGCAAGAGGCATTTCTTTTAAAAAGAGATTTTTGTTATAAGGCCTGTTCACTTGCCAGAGAGAGAGCGAGAAATCACCCCCCAGGAGGATGGCCACATCTCAATCCCTTCTCCTCTATTCTCCTCTCAGGATTTTGGGCACGCATGTATATGTGCTTAGTGTGAGTTTCAAGCCACCAGGTCCAGGACTCAAACCATGGTCAGTCATGTGGGAGTCCGGTGCCTCAACCACTACACCACTGTCTGGCCCCCACTTTTTTTTTTTAAGTTTTTGCCATAGGGTACATGCACTCACTGGAGAGAGAGACAGAAAGAGACAGAGAGAGGAAAAGTGTGAAATCATTCCCTAGAGGGGATGGCCACACCACAATCCCTTCTCCTCCATCCTTCTCCTGGGATTTTGGGCATGTGCATGCACTTGGCATGATTTTCAAGCTGCTAGGTCCAGGATTTGAACTGCAGTCAGCCATGTGGGAACCTAGCACTTTAATTACCAAGAGGCACTTTTTTTAATTACCAGAGGGCAATTAAATTTCCAGAGAGAGAGACAGAGAGGAGAGAGAGGGAGGGAGAAAGTCCCCCCCACAATGAGGCATGAAGACACACAACAATTCCTTTTCCATTTCCCCACCCTGTTAGGACCCTGGACCTGCACACACATGAGCCCAGCATGTCTCTCAAGCTGTATGGGCCAGGATTCAAACTGTGGTCAGCTATATAGGAGCTGTTTCTCTTAATCACTAGGCTATAGGGCCATTTTCGTTTCTGGAAAGGTCAGAGGACTTATTTTTTAAGTGTGTGTGTGTGTGTGTGTGTGTGTGTGTATTTAATTTGTCAGAGGGCATGTGTGCTCACTGGGGAGAGACAGAGAGAGAGAGGGAAAGTGAGAATGCATCCCCATGGGGAACGGCCATGCCACAGTCCCTTCTTCTCCATCTCTCCCTCCTTTGGGGATCTTGGGCACGCACACGCACACAAGCAGTGTGTTTCTCAAGCTTCTCAAGCTGCTGGGTCTGCGACTCAAATTGTGTAGTCAGTATGTGGGATCAATTCAGCAGCATTAACCACCAGGCCATAGGGTGGCCCTGTCAAAGGACTTTTAAAGTCAAATCATGCCATTTCTAAATTGCTGTAGGCAATATTAAGAAATCCTTGGAATGGCTACATAGCTTTTAAGTGAAATAAATGCTGCTGGCTTTTAACAACATGACATCATCAGATGCTTTTTACACTTTTCTGAAAATATACTCGCAAACATTTAACTAATGGGCTGAAAGAGTATCCAGCCTCACTGGCATTTTCCACAAACTCTGCATCAAGCACCAGTTCTGTAATTTTTCTGAAGTGAAACTATTAGATAACCAGCTCTTCCTGAAATAGCTTATACAAATAGCTCGCCCTTCTCAGAAAACACAAATGTGAAGACTTCCTTCTCCAGAGAGTGACCTGGAGTATAGGTTTCCTCCTGGCTATGTCCCTGTCCTCACATCATATGTCCAAGTCCAAGATTGGAGAGGACTGAGCAAGACTCCAATGGAAAGCACTTTCCAAGGACTCTCATCCTACATGGGGTATTGCAAAGGGATCCCACTCCAGATATCAACCACCAAAGGTGAGGCAGGTAGGGGTCTCCAGGGACACCACATTGCCACTTACGTCCCATTCCATGGTTACTCCTGCCCTGCACTCCACCCCTTTGGGGCCCCTTGGTGTAGCTGTTACTCCAATGCAAAGGGGCATGGGCTTTGGTGTCAGGCCCAGGTCAGGTCCCAGCTCCATCCCGATCTTGGGCACGCACACGCACACAAGCAGTGTGTTTCTCAAGCTTCTCAAGCTGCTGGGTCTGCGACTCAAATTGTGTAGTCAGTATGTGGGATCAATTCAGCAGCATTAACCACCAGGCCATAGGGTGGCCCTGTCAAAGGACTTTTAAAGTCAAATCATGCCATTTCTAAATTGCTGTAGGCAATATTAAGAAATCCTTGGAATGGCTACATAGCTTTTAAGTGAAATAAATGCTGCTGGCTTTTAACAACATGACATCATCAGATGCTTTTTACACTTTTCTGAAAATATACTCGCAAACATTTAACTAATGGGCTGAAAGAGTATCCAGCCTCACTGGCATTTTCCACAAACTCTGCATCAAGCACCAGTTCTGTAATTTTTCTGAAGTGAAACTATTAGATAACCAGCTCTTCCTGAAATAGCTTATACAAATAGCTCGCCCTTCTCAGAAAACACAAATGTGAAGACTTCCTTCTCCAGAGAGTGACCTGGAGTATAGGTTTCCTCCTGGCTATGTCCCTGTCCTCACATCATATGTCCAAGTCCAAGATTGGAGAGGACTGAGCAAGACTCCAATGGAAAGCACTTTCCAAGGACTCTCATCCTACATGGGGTATTGCAAAGGGATCCCACTCCAGATATCAACCACCAAAGGTGAGGCAGGTAGGGGTCTCCAGGGACACCACATTGCCACTTACGTCCCATTCCATGGTTACTCCTGCCCTGCACTCCACCCCTTTGGGGCCCCTTGGTGTAGCTGTTACTCCAATGCAAAGGGGCATGGGCTTTGGTGTCAGGCCCAGGTCAGGTCCCAGCTCCATCCCTCCTGCCCTCTGGGAATTTGGGACAATTTACACAATCTCTCCAAGGCCTGGTTTTCTCATCTACAAAGTGGCTGTGACCGGTCCTACTCCAGGGAATCAGCCAGTGTTCATCAAGGGCCCACACCATCATCCATCAGTAAGTGTTAGCAACTCTTGTCACCGTCAGCATGGCTGCGAATATGCTTTGACTCTGCTCCCTACCTTGAGGGCTGCAGTTTTCCGCTGCTCAGCTAAAAGCAGGTTGACCTCCTCTCTGGCCAGAGCCACTTCATGTGGCTCCGTGAACTCGCCCTCGTCCCCCTCAGCATCAGCATCCACCGGCTCCTCATCTTTCTCAGGCTCACTCCTGTCCCTGTGTGCAAGGTGGTGGGTCTTCTCATGCTCCCAGCTGCAGCCACAACAGAAGGATCAGAGTGCAAGTCACACCCAGGACTGGGAGTCCTGGCACCTCCAGTCCAGAGCCTTTTTGCCCCCTAGCTAGCTGCTCACAGGAACAAGTGTGAAAATGCAGCAGAACTGAGTCTGCTACATGGTCTCTGTGACCCCTCTGTATACACACACAGTACACTCAGACTCCAACCCCAGAATTGCCTAGGGCCATCCAAGTGACCTTGGGGCACGTTTCATTAAAAGTATCTCTTCTGAGCCTCAGCTTCCTCAACTATAAACTGTGGACAGCAGCACCCCATACAACCTGGCACTCTACAAGGATGAACTACAATAATCTAAGGCTCTGCGAAAGAAGGTGCCAGATTAAATCTAAGCAGCCACGAGGACCTCATGGAAACTTTGTGTGGAAGGAGGATTAGGGGAACAAAGACGAATAGAAAAGTGACTGGAAATGGACGAGACTGGGAACACATTTCCTTTTATTTAAAATTCCTCTAGTGTAAGTCTTGTGTTCTTTGTGTATTTAAAAGAAATAAAAGGAAAAAGGAGGAGAAGGAAAAGAAGAAAATGGGATAACAGAAAGCAGAGAGCAAAGGAGGAGAAATGGCTCAGTCACAGACTAAGTTCTGTATGTCCCATAAGTGAGGTGGCCATGCGTCCCAGTTATCTAGGGCAGTCCCAGGGGACACCTGTTGTCCCAAGGTAATGGTCAGTGTCCCAGCATAGACAACCAGTTGCATGGCCAGTCTCTCTATGTGGTCACTGTATCCTCAGTAGGTATGAAAGGGGGTAAGCGTGCAATGGAGGAAGAGTCCTGACTGAGGGGGTGTGTAACCTCAGGCAAACCCACATCTCCTCTGAGCCTCAGTCTCCTCTTGCATGAGTAGGGATGATGCTAGCTGCCCCACCAAGGCTGGATCTAGACTCTAGCCTGTGAGAAAGAGACCAAAGAGATCTAGAAGCTTTTCCCACCTGCCTGCCTTAGTTACAGGGCAGGAGAGGAATAGAGTTGGGGGTCCTTCCTGGAAAAAAGAGGGTTCCCTTGGGGTCCTGCAGGCAGCAGAGAGTGGCTGGACAATAGCAAAAAAAAAAAAAGCAAGTTCCACCAGGGGCCCCAGGTGCTCCTGGCAGGCCTCCCCTGCCCTGTTGGGGAGCCCCGAGTGTGGACTCACTCACTCGGCAATGGTGAGCAGGTGGCGGGACATGTCGATGTGCAGCTCGATGTTGGTGTTCTCGAGCTCCACCAGGCTGCGCCGCATCTCCATCTGCTCCTTGAAGGCCCCAATGAGTTGGGCTCGGATCTTGTCCATCTGCTGACGGCTATCTTCCTCTGCTTCGTGGGCAGGGATGGTGACTGCAGGCAGGAAGGGAGTTGGCTGCACCAGGAGCAATGCCACCTAAGCCCGAGTTGGACTCCATGTCGCCCATGAAAATAGGATCTAGCCCATGAAGGAGTTCAGCGCATGTGTATCGGCGAATGGGTGGATGTGGGTGGGCGGGTGGATGGATGTGTAGGTGCAGGGGTGAGTGGTAAGTAGATGAGTGGTGGATATAAGGTTATGCGGATGAAGAGATGAGTAGATAGATGGGAGGAAGACAGGTAAATACTGGGTCGTCAGGAAAGTCGTGATGCATTTTGGCACAGAAACAAAGGAAAATACATCATGACTTGCCCCAACGACAACAACTCAGGTCCCCCTGGAAATGAGTGCCCATGATCTGGGCTGGTTGAGGCTGAGCATGGATTGTAGTGTCAGGACCCTGTTGAGAGTGCTGTCTGTCTGTCTCTCTCATTCATGGAAGAAAGAAAGAAAGAAACTTTAAAAAAAAAAGAAAAGAAAAGGTGTGTGGGGCCAGCAAGTGACATGGTGGTTAAGGTGCTAGAGCGCACATAGCCAACTCTTGAACCTCAGACGGTTCAAGTCCTGGACCTGGTGGCTTAAAAAACACACAGGGCACACACATGTGTGCACATGCTCAGAATCTCAAGAGGAGAATGGAGAAGAGATTGTGGCGTGGCCATCCTCTCTGGGGGTGGTTGACTTCTCACTTTGTTTCTCTCTCTCTCAGACAAGTGCTCACACTCTATGGCAAAAATTAAAAAAAAAAGATTTGTGACATTATGAGACTGCTGGAAATGTGAACAATTGACTCTGATGATATGAAAGAATTATTGCTAACATCTTTCAGCTATGAGAATGACATTATAGTTATATTTTTGTAAAGAGTCCTCATCTTTTAGAGATTATATACTGGCAGATTTATGAATAAAATGATCTGATATCTGGAATTTGGTTCAAGATAATATGAAATAGAGGGAAGGATAAAGAAACCAAAACTGACAACCACAACTTATGAGAGTTTGTTAGACTATTCTTTCTCCTAATCTGAGGATTTGAAATTCTCCACTGACTAAAGTATAAACATTTAAAAATTTCTTCCATAACTCAGAGCTCACAGTTCATCCCTGTCTCAACCCCTTGCCTACCCCTCAACTCCTCTTTCATGTTCACCAGGCTAAACCATGCATGGAGAAGCCTCGGCCTACCTCATCAACGGCCTGAAGAAAAGCACAGCTCTGTTGAGGGAGGTCTGGCTTCTGAATCACAGGCGCAACCTCAAGAGGTTCTCAGCACATCACCATCCTGCTTGAACTCTCAGGTCTCCCGTTACATTTAGGGTACACTAGAAGCCTGTTCATCGCCTCATCTCTCCTTTCAGCTCTCTCCTGCCAAGTGGACACTCTCCTCATGTGCCAGTCCGAGGCCCTGCCTTCTATTTCCTGAAGGCACCAAACTCATTTCTGCCCCAGGGCCTTTGCACGTGCACTTCCCCTGCCACAGGTCTCCAAACCCAGGTCTTTGTATGGCTCCTTCCTCCCACATTACAGTGTCGCCTCCACAGAGAGCCCTTCCCCACCACTCAGCCAAGAAAGACCCCTTCCCTCCTCCTTTGCTCTCTGCCCCAGCCTTGTCTTCCTCAGCTCTTTATCCTCCTTATTTGTGGTCTCTTTCTCATGAGGATATACACATGAGAGCAGGGTCATCTGGGTCCCACTCCCTTTGTCTCCCCGTCACTGGAGCCATGCCTGTAACATGTAGGCCCTCAGTAAATGCACATTACGTGAGTAACAGAGAGAGCACGATCCCAAATTCCAGTGTTGTGTGTGCATATGTCTGTTTGTATGTGTTATACGTGTTATACATGCATGTGCTTGTGTACCTGTGTGTTTGTGTGTCTATGTGTGTGTGCGTACTTCAAAGATTGGAGGAAAGTGCTAAATGCTATCAGTAGCTATCTCCAAATTGTGGGATTACAAGTAAGTTCTATGTTCTTCTTATACATTGCAGTATTCTCCCAGTTTTGAATGATAAACACATATTACTGTTACACTCAGGAAATATTTTTAAAGATGATATATTTATACAAGTAATATGTGAACACATCTTTGTTATAAAATTTCAAATAATACATCAAGAATTATAAGACCCTGGGACCAGCAGTTAGCATAATGGCTATGTTGCTGAACTCCCATGTAGCCAACCATGGTTCGAGTCCTGGACCCGGTGGCTTAAACTCACGCTGGGCGCGTGTGTGTGCATGCCCAAGATCCCGAGAGGAGAGAGGAGGAGAAGGGATTGTGGCATGGCCATCCCCCCTGGGGGGTGATTTCTTGTTTTCTCTCTCTCCGTCTCCGTCTTTCTGGTGAGTACACACGTCCTATAGCAAAATCCTCTCCAAAAAAAAAAAAAAAAGAATCATAAGACCCTCTTAATCATCTGATCACTCCTCCCCCAAGCCCAGTCTCCTCACTCTGGTCACTGCCACTGTCATTTTAATGTGTGTCCTTTCGGATCTTTTTCTGTGCAATTTTGTGTATCTATGTGTCTAGAGAGATAAATGAGGGGTGTTTTATGATTTGCGACAGGGTACCTGTGCTCATGGCGTGTGGGGGAAGAGAGACAGAAAGAGACAGAGAAAGTGAGAAATCACCCCTGAGACAATGGCCATTGTACAATCCCTTCTCCTCCATTCTCCTCTCAGGGTGTTGGGTACACTGCTCACACACCTAGTGTGCTTTCTTTTTGTCTTTTTTTTTTTTTTAAGAGAGATCTTTGCTATAGAGCACATGTGCTCGTCAGAGAAACAGAGAGAGATAGAAAGCAAAAAATCACCCTCCAGGGGGAATGGCCAGGACACAATCCCTTCTCCTCCATTCTCTAGGATCTTGGGCACGCATACATATGCAGCCAGCATGAGTTTTACGCTGCCAGGTCTGGGACTAAAACTGCGTTCAACTACATGGGAGTCTAGCCACGTAACCATTACACCAACTGCTGGTCACCTTAGTATGCTTTTTAAGCTGCCAGGCTTAGAACTCAAATGGTACAGTTGGCCATGTGGGATCCAGCTACTTTAACCACCACACCACTGACTAGCCCAATATGTGGGTTTTTTGTGAGTTGACTTTGAGTTTTTTTTGTTTTATTTTTTTGCTTTTTTTTTTTAGAGATTTTTGCTATAGGGTGCGTGCACTTGCCAGAGAGACAGAGAGATAGAAAGTGAGAAATCACCCCCTGGGAGGATGACCACGTCACAATCCCTTCTCCTCCATTCTCCTCTCGGGATCTTGGGCACACATGCACACACACCTGGCGTGAGTTTTAAGCCACTGGGTCGGGGACTCGAACCGTGGTCAACTACATGGGAGTCCAGTGATACAGTCATTATGGCAATTGCTGGTCCTGACTTAGAGTTTTTATATGAAAAGCTCAGACTTTCACTGCCCTCCTTCACTTGCTTTTCTCACACAATGCTATGTCTTTGAGGTCATCTGTCTACAGAAGTGGGTCTGCCTCCTTCTCTGTAACAGCTGCAGAGCGTTCCTGGGAGGGTTGCACTGTAGTTTGTCATCCCCTTAGATGGGCACATTGGGGCTTTCCAATCATGCAGCCTCCTTGAGCACAAGAGTGCCTATTTCTCGGAACCAGCAGTTAGCGTAAGGGCTATGTTGCTGGATTCCCACGTAGTCGACCGCGGTTCACGTCCCGGACCCAGTGGCTTAAAACTCACGCCAGGTGTGTGTGCATGTGTGCCCAAGATCCCGAGAGGAGAATGGAGGAGAAGGGATTGCGGCATGACCATCCCCCCTGGGGGGTGATTTCTCGCTTTCTGTCTCTATGTCTCTCTCTGTCTGTCTGGCGAGCGTACACGCCCTATAGCTAAATAAATAAATAAATAAATAAAAAATAAAAGTGCCTATTTCTCTATGGTAGATCTGAGGACTAAATTGCTAAAGCAAAGGGTCTTTTAAGTTCGTGTTTGTTTGTTTTTTAGGTTTTTGCCATAGGGCACATGTGCTCACCAGAGAAAGAGAGAGAAAGAACGTGAGAAATCACTCCCTCCCCAGGGGAATGGCCTTCTCCTTCATTCTCTTCTTGGGATCTTGGGTGCACACACACACGCCTGGCATGATTCTCAGTTCACCAAGTCTGAGATTTGAACTGCAAAGCTAATCGTGGGATCCAATGCCTTAACCTCCATACCGCCTGCTGGTCCAAGGCTTCCATTTCCACACTTAACTTTATATTACTTTCTATCCTCTATTTAATAAACAGCTTTTAATGCCAAAGGGCACATGCACACATCAGAGAAAGGAAGAAAGCTTACTCCTACACTCACGAGGCCTAATTGTACTGTAATCCTCTTTCCTCTATTCCTGCTTCTCATAGGATCCTGGGCATATGTATAAATGCACCTGGCACGTTTTTCATACTGCCATGGTCAACCACAGGGAGTCCAGCTCCCTTCACACAGTACTCAAGCACTAAGCTATGGGGTCACCTCTCTTAAATATTTCCTATTACCAGGCATTCTTAGCCAATCTGGTATGTCAACATTTGTTTTAGTTTGCATCTCTCTGTTCACACTACATTTGAGAATCTTTTCATATGTTTATTAACCACTAGGAATTCTGTGAATTGCTTATTCCCCACCTTGCCCATTCTTTTTCAATTGCCAGAGGGCATGTGTGCTCACCAGAGAGAGACAGAGAAACAGAGAGAGAAAGGGAGAAAGCACCTCCCAGTGGGACTTGGTCATGTCACAATCCTTTCTCTTCCATTTCTTCATCTTGTTGGAGTTTTGGACAAGTATAAACACATGTCCAGCATGTTTTACAAGTCGCCAAGCCCTGGATTTGCACTGTGGTCAGCCACATGGGATCTGGCTTCTTTAATCACCAGGCAACAGAGCCAACCCTCTAGTCCTCACATATTACAAGTGAGAAAATTGAAGCTCGGGTTTGGGATACCCAGTAAGGTAGTTGCCAAGTTGGAACTAAAGCCCACGACAGGGTCACTAAATCCCTCTCTGAATGCAGGTGCCCAGAATAGGCCGAGCACCAAGCCCTTGACAAGGGGGAATGGCTGACCCTGGGACAGGGATACAGGGCTCTGGGGAGGGGTGACAAAGCCATCAGGGCTTTCTATGAGGCTCCAGACTCTACCTTGTGCATCCCGGACACCAGGTTCACTTTTCTTCTCCTTTTCCTGCTTCTCAATTTTTGATTTGAGGTGCTCAATCTCCCTGCGCAGGTCAGAGATGACATCCGTGTACTGTGCGATGCGGTAGGAGACGTTAAGCAGGTTGCGCTTAACCTAGGACACACAGCCAAGGTCAGACCTAGCAGGAATTGCTCCATGAAGGAAACATTTGGAAGACGATAGAGTTATACCAGTGGTGAGCACACACATTTTTGTAATAAAAAAATCAAATCACTGCTTCTTGATCTTTTGGTTAAGACCAAGTCCAGTATCTTTTCTTATCACCCAACTTGTAGTAACTTGTTACTGCAGCCACAGGAAATGAATGCAGATGTCTGAACATAGAAAGTGCTATATGAGAGTTTGCTATTATTTTCATCTTCCCCATTTCAGAAAGGATAAAAGTCAGGCAGAGGGTTAATAAACTTATTCCAGGTCTCTCAGCTAGCAACAGCAGTGCAGGAGATATATCCACACTGTCCAGCTGCAGGATGTTCGCTCAGTAGTCACCCTCCATATGGCCACCCAGGAATGAATGAGAGAGTTACCACGTGAGTCAGTGGGTAGATAGGTGAGTGAGTGAGTGAGTGAGTGAGTGAGTGAGTGAATGTGTTTGTGAATGAATTAGTGACTGACTGAATAAATAAATGAATGAATGGGTGAGGGAGTCAACGAGCATGGGACTAGCTTACCCGTGTCTTGATGTTCTTTGCTCTGTATGCGTAGAGCAGGGTGGTCCGTGACTCCTCAAAGCAGGTGCTGGCTGGGCTGATGTGAGCAATCATCACCGTTCGGCTGTTCCCTCCCAGGGCATCCTGCTCAGGAATTGGCATGATGGGAGTCCCATGTCCCCTTCCTGCCCAGTAGTGCCAGTCTCCCTAGTCATCACCAAGCCTATCCAGAACAGTCCATCTGAGATTCCTACTCCAGTTTTTTAAAAGAGCTGCTGATGGCTGGGGACCAGAGGTCAGTCCTCAGGGAGGTGAGCCTCTGGATGAAGTGGGGGCCATTCCAGGCCCACCTTGTCTGACTTCTACCCTGAGGAGAGTAGGTTAGACCAGAGGTTGAGTTTACAGACTCATTTACTGATTGCTTTGCCTATTTGTTTATTTGTACTCTGCCTTCCTATAAAATGGAGGTGACAGAATTCGACTCACTTTAAAGGGGAATTTTCCTTTAAACCATCCATGATAGGACAGGTGCCCTTGGGTAGGGAGTGCTCTAACTGTCACTGGGGGTACACAAACACAGGCTGCACCAGGCCAGATGGAAGGCAAAGTCAGGTGGTGACTAGCGATGGTTCCCATGGTGTTTTCCTGCCTCCAGGGACTGCTGGAGGGGCCCCAGGTAGGCTCAGCGGCTACACGCCCCCTAACACCTGTGCCCCGGGCCCCGCAGCACTACCTTCAGCAGGCGCGTGAGTTTGCTGTCCCGGAAGTTCACATACTGAGCCCGACTGCCGCCCTTCTCACTGAGCGCGTTGATGCAGTTGCCCAGCGCCAGCAGGGAGCGGTTGATGTGCGCACCCTCCTTCATCCTTTTGCCTCGATTCTGGGTCTGTGAAGGGCAAAGACCCACTGAGTGGAGAGCTTTGGTCCTTTGTACTCACCATCTCCCCCATTCCAGTTCCCAAAGAGGAGTGACATAACCCCATCCCACCCTGGGCCTGAGCTCTACATGCACTGATTATACTCATGAATCACCGGGGACCAGAAACACACAGTGAGACAGGATGTGGCTGTAGAGTACTACACAGTCATTAAAAGGGATGCTTCAGAGCTACTGACTGATATTAAAAGATGTTCATTATTAAATGGGCAAACACACTCTTTAAAAAAAAAAAAAAGAATGGGCAAGCACAGATAGGGAAGTCTGTGCAGAACAGCCCAGTATTATAATGGAAATACGAGTGTACATCTCATACCTAGGAAGCACTTCCGCCCAGCCCTGAGATTTCCTCATCCTCAGGTTCTGCTTCCTGAACTCGTTCTCCAAAGGGAAGCCCGTAGCTCCCAGTCCACTGCTTCTCCCCACAGCATCCGGCTTATTTCCTTCATGTCACCGCCTCTCTCAACGGTTGCCTGGCTCTTTGTTATAGGGCGCGTGCGCTCACCAGACAGAGACACAGAAAGCGAGAAATCCCCCCCCAAGGGGATGGCCACGCCACAATCCCTTCTCCTCCATTCTCCTCTCGGGATCTTGGGCATGCATGCACACGCACCCGGCATGAGTTTTAAGCCGCCGGGTCAAGGACGTGAACCATGGTCGACTACATGGGAGTCAAGAGACATAGCCATTACGCTAACTGCTGGTCCCAACAGTTGCCTGGTTCTTTGTGTGTTCAGTGTCTTTCTGCTTGACCCCTGCTAGAATGTGCACTCCATAAGGGCAGCCCTGTCACTCTGTTGGCCATGGGCTCCTGGAACCTGGACACTAGCAGGCCCTGGCCTGCCGCAGCTGTGTGTTCACTGGGTGCCAAATGAAAGGAACACGGTGCATGTGGGCGCCTGGGGGAACACACCCCATGCCCCAAGCTCATCCCAAAAATGACCTGGAAGTGCAGCCATCACAGGAGAGATTTTATCTCTCTCTTTTGCTTATTCATATTTCCCAAATTTCCAGCAACACTCACTTTCCTATTCTATTATGTTTGAAATCAGAAAAAAAAGTTACTAGCATTTTTTTTCAAGGGCATGCGTTTTAGAGTCACCTGGGAGCACAATTTGAGCATGGCTTAAACCACTTATCTCCAAAAAGTCTCCCAGCCTAAGCCTCAGTTTTCTTATTTTCCCAAAGGGCAATAATCCCAACTTCACAGAGTAATGAGAGGATTTAATGGATAACGTATAAAAGGGCAGCCCAGAACTGGACTGCATAAGCAAGCTGTAAATGTTAGCTATTGCTTTTCTTCCGGAGGAGCCAGCACTGTGAAGGACTCCAGCTGCTGTCATGACCCAGAGCCAGGGGGGCTTTCTCTGAGACCTTGTGCCCCAGAACAAATTCTTGTGATGACTTTTTTTTTTTTAGGTTTTTGCTAGAGGGCATGTGTGCTCTCCAGAGAAAGAGACAGAGACAAAGAAAGGGAAAATGAGAACTCATCCCCTAGGGAATTCAGTGATGCTGCAATTTCTTCTCCATTCTCCTCTCAGGATTTTAAGCATGCATGTACATATGCCCGGAGTGATTTTTAAGTTGCCAGGTCTGAGACTCGAACCACAGTTGACCATGTAGGAGGAGTCCAGTGCCTTAACCACCAAGCCACCTGCTGGCCCAGGAATGACTTTTTACGTACACACGATGATCTGTGAGAGCCAAGCAGGTCCTAAAGGCAATCACTGAGCATACAACTAAAACACAGCTGAAAGAGGGGCAGTGGCACTGCCCAAAGGCACACAGCAAAGTGGAGAAAAATGAGAGCAAAGACCTAGGGTTGGACCCCCTGTCTGGTGCCTTCTCCTTGACCTAAGCCCTGGGGAGGCTGGCCTCCACTCGTCTCCCGAGAATAAGCCACACCCAGCTGGGCCCAGGCTCCTGCTCAGGGACCCAGTGCTGTTCCCTCCATAGCACTTGGCTTCATGGGTAGGAGCTGTCTGTACCCACATCTGTCTGTGTTCTAATCATGTCTTTTATTTTCTGTTCTGATGTTTTCACACCAGGAGCCTTGCTGACCCTGCAGAGACTGTCCTTTCCAGCGCTAGCCAATTTCTTGAGACAGCACACATTCCAAATGCAAAGCAACAAGTCTGGAGCCTCTACTCCCACCCTCCACTTCTCTCCTTTACCAGGCTGTCACATTTCAGACTGTCCCCCTACCCTAATCACCTAGGGCCAAGTATCAGAAAACTAGGGACAGCCCCTGTGCTGCAGAGCCTGCTGAGGACATTCAAACTGGCTATCCCAAACCTGCTCACCTTGCCCTGTTGGTTCCTTGCTATAGAAACCACAATAAAGGCTCTTGCCCACATTTCCTCTTCCCCCTTTCTCTTGACTTTCTTTGGTGCTTCCCTGTGTGGCCCTGTGTGGCCCACCCCCTCCTCTTGGGAACTGGGAGGGACAAGCTATCTTTTCGATGGCAGGCATT